ACTGTTTACATGAGTAAAACACACCTGCATCCTGATAGAGGAAGGCCTCTGCAAACCTCAGACTGAGATGGTGGAGCCGGATCCTCTCCAGCAGTGTGTCTTAAGTTGAACACATGAATCATTTGGGAATTTTGTTAGCATGTGGATTCTAACTCACTGTGTAGGTCAGGTGGGACACAAGTTCTCTGGCAATATTGATGTTGCTGGTTCAACTGCACACTTAGATCCATACTTTATAAGTTTTGCAGTTTCCTTTTCTGCTATTTCCTTCTACTTTTCCTGTGAAGGGGAACTTGACTGTAAAACTGTATAAATGGTGCTAGTTAGGAGCTAAGCTAAATGTCACCTTATGGAAGGTTGGGTCCTGCTTTTATAGATTTTTCTAATTAGCACAGGCCTAGCCAACACTAGCGTTTGTTCTTGTTCTCTTTTTTTCCTTTTTATTTTTAAAAAAGATTTTATTTATGGGGCCCCTGGGTGGCTCAGTGGGTTAAGCGTCTGCCTCCAGCTCAGGTCCTGATCTCTGGGTCCTAGGATTGAGCCGCACGTTGGACTTCCTGCTCAGCAGGGAGTCTGCTGCTCTCTTTCCTCCTGTCCCTCCCCACTGCTTGTTCTCAAATAAAATCTTAAAAAAGATTGTATTTATTTGTCAGAGTGGGAGGCACAAGCAGGGGGAGCGGCAGGCAGAGGGAGAAGTGGTTCTGCTCAGCGGGGAACCTGATCCCAGGACCCCGGCAGACGCTTAACCAACTGAGCCACCCAGGCGTGCCCCCCCCCGTTTTTTAAAAGATCTTATTTTTAAGTAATTACACCCACCATGGAGCTCAAACTTAAAGCCGTGAGATCAAAAGGTTCCATCAACTGAGCCAGCCAGGCACCCCTGTTACTTGTTCTTTTTTCAGTCTTGTGATGCTTGGAGATTAGAGCAAAAGTTGATTCAGGTGTTATTTATGGTTTTTTATTTATTTTTTTAAGGTTTTTTATTTACTTGACAGATAGACAGCACAAGTAGGGAGAGCAGCAGGCAGAGGGAGAGGGAGAAGCAGCCTCTCCCTGAGCAGGGAGCCCGATGCGGGGCTCAATCCCAGGACTCTGGTCATGACCTGAGCCGAGGGCAGATGCTCAACCGACTGAGACCCCCAGGACCCCCCAGGTGTTATTTATGTGAAGTCATCAGGGAGCTCAGGAACGAAAACATCCTAGTGGAGATATTTGCTAACACTAATATGTACTAGCTATGGACCAGTTTGCTGTTATCCCTACTTTATAGTTGGGGATGCTGAGGCACAGACTGGCCTTAAGGCTCAAAACTGATGTGAAGTGGAGCAGGGATTGGAGTTCATATCCTTTGGCTGTAGAACTTCTATTTTTGACCACTATGTTGTGCTGTGCTTAAAGACTTCAGGCAGAGTTCAGTTGTCCAGGGGTACCTTGGGTGGTGCAGTAGGTTAAGCATCTGACTCTTGCTTTCTGTTCAGGTTGTGATCTGGGATTGAGCCCCCTGCTGAACCCTGTGTCAGGCTTTGTGCTCAGTGTGGAGTTTGCTTGAGGTTCTCTTTCTCACTCTGCCTCTGTCCCTCCCCCGGCTTGTGCTCTCTAAATAAGATACTACAAAAAAATTTAGTTCTCCCGTGCTTCTCCCCTGCCCCCAATCTCCCCAAGAAAAAAAGGCCCCAAAGGGGCGCCTGGGTGGCTCAGTTGGTTAAATGCCTGCCTTCGGCTCAGGTCATGATCCCAGGGTTCTGGGATCAAGCCTCACATCAGGCTCCTTGCTCAGCGGAGAGCCTGCTTCTCCCTCTCCCTGCCTCTCTGCCTACTTGTGCTCTCGATCTCTCTGTCAAATAAATAAAATCTTAAAAAAGGCCCCAAGAAATTTTAACCTAGGGAGTAGTTTCTTAGAATCATTTCTTTTGCTTCAGGCCTGCGTTGGTTTTTGTAACTGCTCTTTTTTTTTTAAAGATTTGTCAGAGTAAGGGGGAGTGGCAGGCAGAGGGAGAAGCAGGTTCCCCGCTGAGCAAGGAGCCTGATGTGGGACTCAATCCCAGGACCCTGGAATCATGACCTGAGCTGAAGGCAGACGCTTAACCGACTGAGCCACCCAGTGTCCCTGTAACTGCTCTTTTTAAGGATAACTGTTGTGCAAGAAAGTGTTAGCTATGGCACCATCATCTGAGAATCTGTTTTATGTGGAGTTTTTTTTTTTATTAAAGATTTTTATTTATTGAGAGAATGGTAGAGAGCATGAGAGGGAAGAAGGTCAGAGGGAGAAGCAGACTCCCCGCTGAGCAGGGAGCCCGATGTGGGACTCGATTCCGGGACTCCAGGATCATGACCTGAGCCGAAGGCAGTCACCTAACCGACTGAGCCACCCAGGCGCCCATGGAGTTTTTTTTTTTTTTTAAGATTTTATTTGAGAGAATAGGAGCAGGGGAGAGGTGCAGAGGGAGGAGAAGCTGCCCCCCCCCCCGCCCCGGGTAGGGAGTCTGAAGTGGGGCTACCTGAGCTGAAGGCAGATGCTTAACTGACTGAGTCACCCAGGTGCCCCTTCATGTGGAGTTTTAAAAAAAAAAAAATGGTTAAGACACTGGAGATTCAGAGGAGTTACCATTTATTACTTTTTGTATGCAAGGCACTTGAGAGGTTGAAAAGTTGCCTTTTTATGAGGGCTCAGACCTATGTAAAAGACTATGTAAAAGACTAAAAAAGGTTTGCTTTACCACGCGACCCTGGGAAATACCACTGGAGCCCAGATAACGGCATTCCTGTGAGTACTCTGGGACAGATTGCGAGGTGTCCAGAGTTAAGGGACCAGCACGTTCTAGGCAGTGGGGTGTGAGCAGATACTGTTGGGATCATGGGATATGTGAAAGGAAGACCGGTTGGATGGAGTCCTTAAAGGTCAAGGTGAAAGTTTAGGTGTCCTAATGTTAGCAGTGAGGCTGTCCTTTCCGTGGTCAGTTTTGATCACTGTAGCCCGTGAAGGTAGACTGGAGGTAGAGAACGTGTTGGAGGTAAGGCAGGCGTACGCCCGGTGGCGGCAGTGAGGTTGAAAGAAGGCAGTTGGGTGTGAGTCGGAAGAGCTAGCGAGCGTAGGCAGCATTAGTCTTGCATGCTAGTCTTTTTTTTCTTTTTAAGTAGGCTCCATGCCCAACATGGGGCTTGAACTCAACAACCCTGAGATCAGGAGTCGCATGCTCCGCGGACTGAGCTAGCCAGGCACCCCTGATGTTATTCTTGGAAGTTAGTTGGAAGAGCTATCATCCACAAGACTGACTAAATTTGTGCTTTGTTGGAACATGTTAGGGTTTACTGTTTCTACTAGTTAAGGTGGTACCATTTTATGTCAAGATACAGAGATGATGAAAGGAAGACTGCTTCAGTTTTGGGTATGGCAGGGTCCTTCCGGAGCATGTAAGTGACATAGAAGAACATATTAACATCTCAGGATTGAGTATGGAATGGGGATCATGAGCATTTATTTTATGGGATGGCTGGCTAAAGAACGATGAGCCTGTGGTGCATGGGTGGCTCAGTGGGTTAAGCATCTGCATTCGGCTGGGGTTATGATCCCGGGGTCCTGGGATTGAGTCCCACGTCAGGCTCCCTGCTCAGTGGGGAGTCTGCTTCTCCCTCTCCCTCTGTCCCTCCCGCATGTGCTTGCTCGCTCTCAAATAAAATCCTAAAAAGCCTACAGGAAGCTGGCAGGGCTGATTGCTGCATTTGGAAAGTTCTGCATTGCTCCTGGAGTCCCACCTACCGTTAGGAGCATTTAGTCCTGTGTGATGAGTGGGTGGCCTTGACGGTGGCCATATCTTACCTTGGTGCTTCCTCTCTTGTAGCAAACTACCTGTTTTTTCCTGTTTCTCTGGTGATTCAGTAGATCAGGATAGGGACGTTTTATACAGACTGTCAGAATATTGTGTGTACACCCCTAAGGAAGTATGTGGAAGCATAAACACTACATTTCTAGTTGTGTCCTCTAGGTGAGTGATTCCAAGTGAAGTCTGCACAGCTTTGTTCATTGTGAACTGGTGTTATCACTGAGTGGCACAGAACCACTCATGTACCTGCGTACCTGGATCCCCTGCATCTGATGAGCTATCCCTTACGAATAGGACACTGGGCTGGTGTGCCTGCTTGTTGCTTTGCCTACCTACCCCTATCTTGCTTCAAAGCCAGAAAGAATTTGGGTGCAAAGGGTATGCAGGATGTAATCCTAGCATCCTGGTTCCCCAACAGCCTTTGCAAACAGCACTCCTTAGGTGCTGTTTCCTGGTGAAGAATACTTAATACCACCTCTGGAAGCAAAAATTCAAGAGAAGGAATGGCTCTTAGAACTCATTCCCAAAGTTTTGGTTTTGTCCTTGGCCTGTTTTCTGGGCAAAGTATAACCTATAACGCCTTCTTCTAGGGGGCGGCAGGGAGCAGAGGGAGCAATGAAGCCTGCTGAAGTCTAGGCTAGTGCCGGAAGGAACCCTAGAATTCTGCTTGATTTCTTGTGCTCTTCTGTGTGTAGAGGATACTCTGTCTCTCTCCTTGAAGTGTGCTCTAACTTTACATTTTTTTACTTAAGGAAAAGTGAGAGAGAAGCTATGTAGACTCGTCTGTTGTCAAATGCCTCTGACAGCTGACCCATTACAGTTCCAGACCTTTTCTACATACGTCTGTTTTCGACCTTGGCCACAGGGCTAACCATGGGTAGCACTGGAGGAGTTACCGAATGGTAAATGAGGGGATATTCCACGGTGACTCTGAGGCAGAAAGGATAAAGCGGGGAGCCTGCTGCCCTAGGACCAGGCAGTAGAGCAGAGCTTTACTTGGCCTCTGCGGCATTTACATCTGTAGCTTAGCTCTGCATGTGCTTCCAGGCTGGAAGTAGGAAAAACACACAAGTACAAGTTGGCTTTTCATATATTGTGTATAAAAAGAGATTCAGATTTGGGGTTAGTTGGCTGCAACTGCCAGGGATTCTATGTGGGGCTGCTGTTGGGGAAGACACCTCAGCTTTTCTCCAGGTCGACCACCAGGTAGGGGTGGGTGTTCTTCAGGGCCTGAAGGAGCAGATCTTTGCAAGTCTTGTCCCAGGCTGGAGCAAAGCTGAGGAGCTTCCTCATCTTCATTGGGTTGGTGGACTCTGCCCGCACTGCCCCATACTGCTCCTCTGACAGGACCTTACCGTACAGGGCGTCCAGCACCCCATCCACGTCTGTGACACGTGTGATGAGGGCTGCCCGGTGCTGGTCCACAAAGTGCAATGCTGCGGGCAGAATGGAGGCGAGCAGCTGAGCCAGTTCCCAGGGTGGATACTGGGGTCTGTTCCAGCTGAGCTCTGCTTTTCTTCAGAAATTGCTCTGTAACCCTAAGGGGTGGGCCTCAAGGTGGGCAGCCCACCCACACTACAGATAAGGTCGGATGAGTATAACTTTGTTTCTCTCTCCCTCCCACCAGCCTCCTGCCCCCCAACCAGGTGTGGCCCAAGGGGTACGTCTGTGGGTGGGAAGGGTAGGCCCAAGCTTGCTCCCTTTGTTCCTGGCTGTGGGACACAGCTCCAGGCTGTGCAGGGGTGTTGTGGGGTGTGGCTGAGAGGTTGGCAGTGAAGGCCTCACTTGGCTTGGCCGCCATCTATTAAGAAGCCTGGATCTCAGCAGGTGCCCCTCAAACAGGTGTGGCCCAAGTGGTGTGTGGGTGGGTAGGAAGGGTAGGCCCAATCTTGCTTTCCCAGAGCTGCTGGCTATGGGACACAGTTCCAGGCTGTGCTGGGGTGTGGCCGGAGAGGTGGGGAGTGAAGGCCTCACCTGGCTTGAATGCAGTCTGGTGATCCTGGATCCCACCAGGCCCTGGAGTGGGACCTACAAGGAAATCAGTCAAGTGGTCCCCTTCCCTTTACCCTAGCTCCAGTCTCTCTCGGGTCAGGGGCCCCTTGGTCCGGAAGCCAAATTGGGGGCCAAGCACAGGAAACCCTTCCCAGCAGGAGGAGCTTTTGTAATTTTTAGAGGGTAGGAGGAACTGAAAGCAAAAGAGCCCAAGGGGCAAACGTTGGGGTGGGGGCTGGTGTGGTGAGGGGATAGAGGAGGCCCTTGCAGAGCGTGGAGGGGGTGTGCTCACCTTTGCGTGTCATCTCCTGCAGCTGCTCCGCTGTCTCCTGCATGCCAATCTCACGCAGCACGACCGCGGTGAGCTCTGCGCTGTACTCTTCCAGATAGAAAGAGACGAGCTTGTCTGTGAGGTCCATGGCGTCCATGGACATCAGTGTCCCCCGCGGGATGCGCCCATAGCCTTCGCGCAGCGGCACTGAAAGTAGCTTCAGCTTGAACTTCTTGAACTCGTCCGCAGTCAGGTTCTCCAGCGCGTCCAGGATGGCGTCGCGAGTGCGCCCCATGGCTCTGGGGTCCTCTGCCGCTGTTGCTCACCCGGGATGTCTGCAGACCAGGAAGTCTGCTCCAGGGCGGGACCTGGAACTCCCCGCCTTCTCCTGATTCCCGCCTTCGCCCTGGCCCATTGCCCGGTGGCATAGGGTGCCCCAACTATCCCATTGGTTCCCACCCACCAAGGTCTCCAGACTCACTGGCCTGGCCATCGGGGGGCGCCGGGATTGCGTCCTCCAGCTGATGTGTGAGGTGGGACCTGGGAGATGGCAGAGGGGCTCATGGGGTAGTGCCTCCATCTCCAGGCTTGCAGTAAGTAGCACAGACCAGAAGCTGGTTTATTGAAAGTGTCAAGGTTTAGAATCTTGAAATTCTAGAACACTAAAATGTCCACATATCCCTGAATCTTAGCATCCACTTTCACATGTCATAGAATCTTAGAATCCTAACAACCAGAACCATGTAGCTTAGCAAATTTCACACACAGAGAAGAAAAGATGTAAAAAAAAGGGTAGAGGGGCACCTGGGTGGCTAAGTTGGTTAAGGGTCTGCCTTCAGGTCAGGTCATGTTCCCAGGGTCCTGGGATCGAGCACCGCATCAGGCTCCCTGCTCAGGAAGGAATCTGCTTATCCCTCTCCCTCCACCCCTCACTCCTGCTCATGCTCTCCCTCTCAAAACCTTAAAAAGTTGTGTACTTTCTCTGTGCCTCAGTTAACTTATCTGTAAAATGGGATCATAATACTCATCCACTTAGTAAATATTCCAGTGTAACATGGGCTACCTGATGGCCTCTGAAACCTTGCCAGACACTTCCTGGGACAGCCAGGATTTGGTCCCAGGAGCTGAATTTCTGGGGAAGTGTTGATGAGACACTTGTAATGAATGGTTGAGAAACTTCTCAATGGAGGGAAAGTCATGGGTGCAGAGTCACTCTGGGCCCAGTGGGCTTGATCTAGAAGAGCAAGTGAAAGGTGGCATGAGTAGGCATTGGAGCCCAAGCTGTGCCCAGAATCCTTAACCTGCCTTTAACATGTCTGGGAAGGCCCTGCTGGTCTGGCCCCCGTGGACCTCACCAGCCTTGTCTTGTGCCACACCCTGTTCTCCCTCTGTCTCTGAGTTTCAACCACACTGGCCTCTCAGTTCCTCAAATGTGCCACACTCCCTTGCTTCTCCAAGCCTTTTTTTTTTTTTTTAGTTTTGTTTTTTAAAGGTTTTATTTCAGAGAGAGAGAGAGCATGAGTGGGGGACAGGCAAAAGGAGAAGCAGACTCCCTGCTGAGCAGGGAGCCTGATATGGGATTCGATCCCAAGACCCTGGGGTCATGACCCCAGCCGAAGGTAGATGCCTAACCGACTGAGCCACGCAGGTGCCCCTCTCTAAGCCTTTCAACGTGTTCCCTTGATCTGGAAATTTCTTCCCTCACTCTTTGCCTGGTAAATTCTTGAAACTTTAGGTTTCCAGTTAAATGTCACTTCCTCTGGCCAACCAGGTTTAGAATCCCTCCCAGACTAGTTCATAACACCTGCTCTCATAGCAGTTGTGACTGAATTGTAACTATATGGATTTGTTTAGCATCAGTCTTCCCTGCCGGTCTGTAAGTCATGCCTGTCCAGATCATTGTTGCATCCACAGCATCCAGAACAGTGCTTGGCCTATGGTGGTGGTTCAAGAAATCTTTGTGGAACCAGTAATGAATGAAGGGACCTTGTGGGAAATGAATCATGAGCAACTCTTAACTATAGAGAACAAACTGAGGGTTGATGGAGGGAGATGGGTATTAAGGAGGGCATATGTTATGATGAGCACTGGGCATTATATGTAAATGATGAACCACTGAACTCTACTCCTGAAACCAATATTGAACTATATGCAACTAACTAGAATCTAAATTAAAAAACAACAACGAAGGCACCTTGTAGTTCAACAGAGGATACCAGAGGCAGCTGCCAGGAGCTGGAAGACTGTGGGCTTGAAGCTGTCCAGTGTCTAGTTTGAATCTGGGCTCTCCTTCCTAGGTGGTTATTGGGAATCCTTCATTTTTCCATTTCAGCTGGGTTGTAACAATCACCAGTCCTTTTACTGATGTGATCCTGATATACACATTTATTTATTCATTTATTGAACATCCATCACCCAGCTGTGAGCTCGGTGAAGGCAGGGACCTTGTGTGTCTTGTTCATTGTTGAATCCCCAGCATCAAGACAGTGCTTGATCCCTAGGAGGTGCTCAGTGAAGATTTGCTAAATGAAGGAATAAGTGAGGCCGTGTTACCTGCAGCATGTTGTATTCAAGAGCTTCCAGCAAGGGTAGTAGCGGGGCTCACTCCCCATCCTTGTGCACGTTGCCTCATGTGGTCTAGGTATATTATGTGCCAACGTCCTCACCATGGGTGACACTTGTGGTCCAATAACTAGTGTTCCTTGGCTTATGGCTGTTTATTATTGTGCCTCTTCACTGGTCTTTATCCTTTTACAATCTCTGATTCATTTTGTACACTGTGGCCAAAAGGCTACATCTTCCTAGCCCACACATTGATCTTACCCCTTCCTGCTCAGAAACCTGTGACTCTCCAGTGCCCTCAGAATCAAGTCCAAGCTCCTTGGCTTGGTCTTCAAGATTCTTGCCAACCTCCTCAGCTACACCTTTGACCCTGTTGGCCTCTGGACTTCTCTCCACAAGTGGCACCTGTTCTCTGCTTGGCGTCTTTAAAGTCCCTTCTGGTTGCCTTGATGAGTTACTGCTTGTCCCAACATCCATCAGGAGTCACTTTTTCGAAGAAATAATAAAAATTTGAGCGCCCTCTTTAGGCTGTGATCTTTTACATGCATTATTTCGAAGCCTGACAACGATCCCTGTGGGACGGGGTCTAGTAGCCCTATTTTACCAATGAGAAGACTGAGGCTCAAGAGAGGTTGAGGGACTTGCTGAAGGTCATATAGCTGAGGGGATCATATAGCTTGTCTGTCTGGATTCTGAATTTGTCTTCTGTCTACTCTTCCCTGTTGACTTTTCTGTCCTCTGTGCAAAATGAATTATTCCTTCACACGCCTGCAGGATGCCTTTACGATGCCTTTATCATACAGTCTGTCTGTTCACTCTGTTTTCCCACCAGACTGAGAGCTCCTTGAGGACCCTCTGTGATCCACAGCACCCACCACAGGGCTTGGCATAACTCCAGCCATTATAAGCCTTTATGGAATGACAAAAGAATCCTAGAATCTAGAATAATAAAAACCTGCTCTTTTCACATTGGTAGAATCTTACATGCTTTTTAAAAAAAAAAAAGATTTTAGGGGAGGCTGTGGGGCCAGTTGTTGGGCATCTGCCTTCGGCTCGGGTCATGATCCCAGGGTCCTGGGATTGAGCCCCACATCGGGCTCCTTGCTCTGCGGGAAGCTTGCTTCTCCCTCTCCCATTCCCCCTGCTTGTGTTCCCTCTCTTGCTGTGTCTCTCTGTCAAATAAATACATAAAATCTTTTTTTTAAAGATTTTATTTATTTATTCATGAGAGACAGAGGGAGAGAGAGAGAGAGAGAGAGAGAGAAGCAGAGGGAGAAGCACGCTCCCGCGGAGCAGGGAGCCCGATAAGGGACAGGATCCCAGGACCCTGGGATCATGACCTGAGCCGAAGGCAGACGCTTAACCATCTGAGCCACCCAGGCGCCCTAAATACATAAAATCTTAAAAA